GCATGTGATTCAGACAAAGCTCAAGTTACTTACACTTGGCTTTGGAGTGATTTCTCTGACAACGTTGCTTATTTTTCCCTCTGGTTGATGATGTTTGTTCCTTGGCATGATGCAGGTGTGGTCACAGGGACATTTGGGGGTGAAAGTGTCAGAAGCATATCTGAGATTTTAATGTTCCAGTGCTGATCTGAGTATATTCATAAGTGTTTATTACCTGTCTGTGTGCCCAAGGCTTCACATATCAGAATTGGAAGGAAAGTTTTATTGATCAGGAAGGTGCCAACTGAGAAGATGGGAGACTCAACCTCAAATCCATCTTAAGTACAAAATTCAGGCTTTTTTATGTGAAGGGAAGGGGAAGAGGGAGGGGCAAGAGTGATGGACCCCAGGCCACAGGGGTCGGAGGAAGACTGCTTCCTCTGTTGACCCTAGTTGATGTGAGTCTGCCAAGAGGTTCCTGCAGATCTTTGATAACCAGTGTGTGCTTCCCGCGTCTCCCGGGAGAGGCACTTCCTGGTCCGGGGCAAGCAGAACTCTAAGGATCCGCTGTCTGTGTAAGAAGGCGTTGGCCTGCAGCCTCTGGGAACAGCAGGTTGGACAGGGGAGTCAGAGGCCCAGCACTTCACTCTGTCACCTGTTTGATTTTTTTTTTTCTGTAAAAGTTTGTGTATGCACTGCATCATAAGCAAGGACATTTTTTCATTCCAGGGCTTTCTACAAATTGACAGTTGCTTTAGACTAGAGAAGTATGTTCCCATTAAAAATTGTTCTCGTTTTTCACAAAATAATAAAAACCCAGTGGATGCACACACACACAATTTAATATCAGCTTACGTGGAATTTTAGGTGAAAGGGGCGGGGGGGTAGGTAACAAACTTCCTTTATCACATTTTTAAGCTCTTGATTTGAATCTTACTGAGTTCGTGTTGTTTTTATAAAAGGTGGAGATGAAGAAGAAAATGATGAGCCGCCCAAAGTAGTAGTTACTGAGGTCAAAGAAGAAGATGCTTTTTACTCCAAAAAGTAAGTAAGAGTCGGAGCCGAGGAATCCACTTGGCGAAGGTTTTCAGAGACGTGAACGGAGGCTTCTGACATTGTCTTCTGACGTTGTCCCAGAATTTACTGTGCCAGCTGTGCCCACTCCTTGAACTGGAGCGAGGAAGAATTCTCGGCCCGTTTATTTAAAAACAAACAGGTTCTAGACAATTTCTCTGGGCACAGCCTTCTCTCCTGCCGACCCAGCCCTTCTGCTTCAACGTGCTGTAGAGAGGGCCTTCGCTTTGCCCTTCCTGCCCCTCTGGGCTACTTCCTCTCCCCTTTCTCTCCTCCCTGCCCCTCCCCTCCTCCATCCCCCACCAGGAAGTCACCGTCACTGACGGGGGTTCAGTGCTACTTCTGCTCTCTGATCCGTCCTGGAGACTGGCTGGCCTTCACGGATTCTCTCGGTCTGCCCAGCCCCTTCCGTGAAGGCTGTGTGAACACTGTCTTCCCTGCTGTCGGGGCTGCTTTGTTTTTAAATTTATTGGGGGTGACATTGGTTAATAGAATTATAGAGGTGTCAGTGACACTGTGACACCTCGTCTGTGAATTGCACCGCGTTCACCACCCAAAGTCCCACGCCTCCGTCACCGCATATTCGACCTGCTTTTGCTTTGACATGAAAGCTGCAGCTTTTAGAAGAAAGCAGAAGGGGGTTTTGAGTTAACTCTCAACAAAATGAAATTAGTACTTTTAAGAGATATTTACTGAAAAATATTTTTGCCATTTTAGAAGCTTCCCTAGAGGTATTTTTCTAATAGAAAAAGTTCAGCCTAATGAGTCAGCATTTTCATAACAAAAAATCACCATGTCCTCTGAGATTCCCAAGTGTTAACTACTGCTGAGAACTTTTAAAAGAGGCAACAATTCCTTTAGCCTGTTTTTAAGATTAATTTACACAGATGACTGAAAGGCGTCGTCAGTTTTTTTCCTAATCTGAGCAAATCAGAGGAGCAGTGGTTTTGGTTTGTTTATTGATAACCTAAGGCGCTGTGTGACACAGACTTCTAGGAGATGTTTTACTGCGTTGTCATTAGTTAGGGAGATAAAAAAATTGTTGGAGTCCTGAAAAGAATTCAGAAATAAGAAAGGAAAAAAGGGGAGGGCTGTGGGCAGTGTTTGTTCTGTTTTGCTGTTGTTTTCTTTTTTTAAGTTAATCCTCACCGGAGGATATTTTTCCATTGATTTTTAGAGAGAATAGATGGGAGGGGAGAGACAGAGAGAGAAACATCAATGTGAGAGAGAGACATATTGATTGGTTGCCTCCCACGCTCACCCTGACCAGGGCTGGGATCAAGCCTGCAACCTGGGACCCTTCAGTCCATGGGCTGATGCTCTATCCACTGAGCCAAACCAGTCAGGGCTTTTCTCTATTTGTTCTTGTCCTTGGAAGACCAGATGGCCGTGATTTTGATTGTCTTGAGAAAGGGTAGTTTCAGAAAGTTATGTAATAATTTGGGGAAATAGTGGGAAGGTTCTCGAATATCTAACCAGGCTCCTGTCTGGCTCGTGCCCAGGCTCAGTCGGGGTCCACAGAAGACGGGCCTTGAAGCTTCCTCTGCTCATTCAGTAGAGATTGCCCACACAAGTATGAATAGCGGTTGTTAGAAACAGACCTGATTTGTCATTGTTTGTCTGACTGGACCTGTTGTTTTTCTCCGTAGGTGTAAACTTTTTTACAAGAAAGACAATGAATTTAAAGAGAAGGGTGTAGGTACTCTGCATTTAAAACCTACAGCGAATCAGAAGACACAGCTGTTGGTGCGGGCAGACACCAACTTAGGTGGGTGCCCTTTCTCCCAGGCGGCACCGCATCGGCACCGTCCAGTGGCCCCGTGTAGAAGCCCTGTACTTGCTCGGCTCAGTCTTTGGGATTTTCAAGTCCATTGATGTGGGGTTGGGAACAGAGGAGACCGTTCAGGCCAAATTCATCCTGGACTTAGCGGTTCTTGCAGATTGATTTGAGTCCTGGGGGATAGTGTGTAAGAACATGCACTGCTAAAAGCTATAGCACAGCGGTTCTCAACCTGTGGGTCGCGACCCCTTTGGGGGTCGAACGACCCTTTCACAGGGGTCGCCTAAGACCATCGGAAAACACATATATAATTACATATTGTTTTTGTGATTAATCACTATGCTTTAATAAATGTTTAATTTGTAACAATGAAAATACACCCTGCATATCAGATATTTACATGACAATTTATAACAGTAGCAAAATTGCAGTTATGAAGTAGCAACAAAACTAATTTTATGGTTGGGGGTCACCACAACATGAGGAACTGTATTAAAGGGTCGCGCATTAGGAAGGTTGAGAACCACTGCTAGAGCAAGACCTTAACAAAATGGTCTGCATGCTCCTTTGTGTTAGAGACGTGACTAAAAAGCTGGAGGTGAATTGGATGGTTTAATGATAGACACACAAGGGGAATCAATCATTTAAAGGAATCCTCTTATGTAGCAAATAATCGTTAATGCACTCCCCTTAGCCCACCCTCCAGCTGGGCCCTTAGAACAGTCCATGGAAAGGGGGGTTTGGGAGGGGCCTGCGGTCTAAGCGGCAGCGGCGGCCCCAGGCGGGTTGGAGGAGGCCTCCGCCAGCCTTTCTCTTCCTGTGAGCCGGGCTGTGGGTGGGGCCTGGCAGTTCTCCACTCCCCAGGGAGCCGGCCCCGGGGACGCGTTTCTTCGCTGACCGCTGTCTGTTCCGATGACTTAGTGAGCTCGGGGCAGGCCAGTGTGCCCGTCCTCCAGTGCGACAGTGCACGGCCGGCGGGAT